GATGTCCAACTTTGAGATCGACAGACCGTATTCCGAAAGGATCGGTAGTATGCAAACCAGATTGCAAGACTACGTATCATCGATGGACAATCAATTGAATGGAACTCGTCAGTATACGTCATCATCCTTGACTATGAGAAAGTATTCGACAGCGTGTATAGGAGGACCCTATGAAAAGTTCCCCAGCACTATGAAGAACCTGAGAAGATTGTCAACATCATACGGAAGTCATACGACGGACTACACTGCAAAGTCGTGCATGGAGGACAGCTGACAGACACATTAAGAGTAAAGACCGGAGTCAGATAAAGCTGCTTACTCTTCCCCTTCCTCTTTCTTCTGGTGCTCGACTGGATTATGAAGACCTCGACATCTGTGGGGAAAACACGGAATACAATGGACAGGTTCGATGCAACTAGATGATTTGGACTTTGCAGATGACCTAGTTCTTCTATCCCATACACACTATATATATATATATATATATTCGTATACACTCTTTAACTTCCCTTAAATTGTGAGATTAAAATTACTTTATACCCTCCCTTCTAATTGTTTCTTCCTGTACTATATCCTTATACAAAATCGTTCTTTTATATATTACTATCATTGAAGTAACTACTTCTATGAATTTGGTGGTGAAGATTTATAGCTCAGGTGGATGATTTTGATGGAGTTTTGTTCTCTGAGCTGGACCACGACTAAACCATCCAGCTCAGAGAACAAAACTCCATGAAAAATGAATTTAGTGTTCGTCTTGTAAACAATGAAACAACAATTAGAGACCGATATATTTAGAAAATAATTAACCGTTTATATTGGTGCCATTTCTCCGATCGAAATTCAAATAAATATATAGTGTTTCTAATATTAGACTGATACAATTTGTTGATACTACCCAGCTGCCAAAACTAAAATCAGTCGGTCTATCACAAGCAATATGGAACCTAGCACACATGTGTATCGGTGTACAGCAAGACGGAATTATCAAGAGGAATACCAAAGTAGTAGTATCAGGGACAGTAAACACTAGGCATAGAGAACATGGACAATGAAGAAAATCGTTGAGCATAAGGCACCTACTATGCTAGACACTAGCAACAGGGTAAAAGTCACCGAAAATATTGATCGAGTTTGAAGGACATTACATTTAGTTAAAATTACACAGGTATCTTTGCGGTTAGTTATTGTCATGTTGAGGATTAGCCACGACAGATAAGCATGTTATGTAGACCACAGCAACATTCCTGGCCTACCTTTAAAATAATAAACTGAGTAAATACTAGATTTTTCTCAAGCTTTAGTCAAATGATAACCAGGTTAAGTGAAACTGGAAAATAAAATTAAGCGTGAAATCGATCTTAAGTAAATTATTTTCTTTCCGATAAAAGGAACAAATGAATGAGATCACATTTTAATAACTGTAATACATATCATTGAAAATATACACATGAGCAAAACAAATATTTAACAATTAAAATCAAATATACATGCACAACGTAGATATATTTTTAAATCAATGCCTACGAAGTTTAGTCAAAAAATCGAAGTATTTCGGGATACCCAATATTTGACAGAAATACAATTAAACATACGAACCCGATTCAGTGGTCTGGAGGTTAAGCGAGAGTATACTAGACCGAAGTTCCTGGGTTTGATTCCTCTTTGCGAGGTCGTGGATGCGCATTACTGAGGCCAGCCAATGCTTCTAGCTTATTATTGGTAGTCTAGATAAAATTATTTTGTGATTTGAACGAAGAAAAACAGTCACTAAAAAACGGAAATATTTAAATTAGCTGAAAGAAACACTGATTTAGGAAATATTTTCAAAGTAGTTCAAATAACTGGATGGATAGATGATGTTTCATAGCAAAGCAACTTGTACTCATGATATAACTGACAAAATACGCTGAGGTTGCTTTCTTTACATTCAAAAAGATAGTGGTTGCGAATGCAGGAGAGAGTTTATTCTGACATATTATGAATGGGAACTTTAAGGGAATAAGTCAGAACGTAGAATACAAAAATACAAAGTAAAAAAATGCTGAACTATCGAAATGTGGATAAGACTGAATATTAACCAGTTGCATAAAAATGTCCAATGAGGAAAAAAGTATATTCAGTTACCACAACTTACACAAAAATAAATCAAAGCATTTTAAAAGTTATAAAATATACAGCATGAATAAACAATTTAGTCAAACACATGGAATAAAGAATTATCTGTGTAGAACAGTCTGATTCACTATCCACTGCTGCGTGTGTTTGTGCGTGTTCACTCTGATTTCCATGTTTATATTATAGTCAATATTGGTCTGCTATATAATAAATCTATTGAGAATGGGAATTTGTTGGCTGAAAGTGGCAGATGTTTACCATATTTTACATATCAGTAGTGACATTTTATAATTCTATGCATATAAAAAATAGTCTGATAGTCATTATTGAAAAGAAAAGGGTATGTACAAGTGAGGTCCGAAAACAAGTTTTAATAAACAGTCTAAATACTTGAAAGATACTGGCATTAGAGATAACCGCACGTGTAAAAAATGAACTAATATGAGGGGTAGATAGATGTTAAGTAAATGATGATTTTACTCCGCATCAGAAACAACAAAGAGGTTGTATAAAAATACGGAAAAAATGAATGGAACTGATTAAACTTTAAGTACTAAGTAATAAAATTTCTGAAATTAGGAATGAGAATCCTGTCCATATTTTTGAGAGCCAGATAAATCATGAATATGACTAAATGAGAAAAACTAAGTAAAATCATGGTAGTTAGATAATGGAAATCTGGAACATTGGTTGAAAGTATGCAATTAGTTGATTACTTGAAGCATAACATGAAGACAGGACTGACATTCGTTTAGGCTTATTCGAGATATTTAGGGAATAACTATTCTTATAGAGTAAGGAACGTGTTTCGAACAGTAAAAAGATTTCCCAGATCATAAAGAAGTGTGATACATGTCAAAGTAACTTCTTCCTAATATTTCAAATTATCAGTCTAAAATCTAGCGTAGTCGATTAAGTAATTAATCGTAGCTAAACACATTTACAGAGTAGTAGGACATTGACTTGAAAACTGGGATTACTGAATGATCTTGAGCTCCTTGAAATTAGACGTGTTCAGTCGTATCGCTCTCCGGGTAAACTCTATGTTATGAACTATGATTTGAAGAATAATGCATACCGGTAGATAACATGGTGTAATAATACGAGGTGATTGAGTAATGGCTGCTTATGAGACTAAATATTGACACAAACCTCGTAAATAAACTTAGATCGAATACAAGAACACTAGTCAGAAAAATAGAAATTTAATATCTAACTAAATAACGTGTTTATACATAAATTATTAACAGAAAATAACGTAATAAAATGTTATAAACGATTGAAGGATATCAGGTTTGTAAATCGCTAACTTTCTAGTAAACCAAGATTTACTGTCTCGTCCTATTTGAGGTCTAGGAACGCCATCACTACCGCCGGAAAATAACAATCTCAGTTGAGAATTTGACCAGTCTTATCTATGTTTGAAGAGCACTTAATCACTATAATTGAGTCTTAAAAGTATTAGCGAGTAAAAAATGTTTGCAAATGAACAGAACACAAAATATACAGTGCATGAGCAACTATACAAACAGATTGAAAGTGCACACACCAAAAATACATAATAACAACAAGAGAGGAAAAAGTGACGAGAAAAAAACTAGTATGTGCTATTTTTTTCTTTACCTGTTCCCTCTACATACGTTATGGGTGTTTGTTGTGAGTTTAGATTGTTAAGATCCGAAAAGCGAAGAATGAAGAAAAATTAAATACGTGGGATGAAACGATGAAGTTATTGAAGAAATACTAAATGCCTAGTAAGAATCACTTTTTATCTGTGAATGTTTACGGAGGGAGAAAGGATATTTAATATTCATTCAACGATGAATGGCGAAAAACTTACAATGATAAAAAATGATCGACAAGTAACAAATATAAAGACCCGTATATTCAATCATGTGTTACTATCAGATACCAACTATCTTTACTAATATCATTCTGAAAATAATATTCGTACTTTTTATACAAACATAAGTCAACCAACCATTCTTGTTAATATAGATCTCCAAATGATCAAGCCAAAGTTTTTGAGTAAGGCATTTTTTCTAAACACGCTGTGTAAGACGTAGTAATACCGTTTATTCCAAGTAGGCCTAGTACAATCTGAAAATTTAAAGCTGGTATATGTTTTCTGTCCAGCTTGTAAACACTAAGTATACAACATGGATCCAGGAGGTCTGTGACTGTTGACCATAAAAGCTATCAAATATGATCTCTGAAATAGTTAAAACTGACAGTTGACAACATTTATTAATTTATTTGAACACATATATATTGGTACAAGGAGATACCAATACCTATGCGCCACAAAAATCTCATTTGATTTGTGTGAGGACTGTGATACTGCTTGGGTGACCAAATCAAGGTAAATGGTTTTCTTAAGGGGCGACACCCGGAGTCTTCGACCTGAAGGTCTGATCCACAAGGCAGTGGAGGAGCATCGTAAGGAAATGCAGTCCCATAGTAGCCGGTGACCAAAAATTAATTCATACGCCATTTGTTCCCTAAGAACCCTGGAGCCTATGTCCACCAACCCGGGTAAAGCTCCGGAAATTCGCTTTTCGTTCTCTCAATTTCGTAAACAACACCCCCGCCACGAGAAAGCAGTGAGTAGGACTTCCTTGGCAGAGGCTATATAGGTGTGTCCATGTGAGAGCATTTCGAGAGGAAAAGCGGACCCTCCCCACTCTCGGCCGTACCAGGGCGTTTGACGGCAGTTGACAACATGAAACAAACCATTAGAAATTGATATTCCAAAAACTGTGTATTATTCAAGTCTTATCAATAGAGAATAACTGTAGGAAATCATTATGTTGATGAACAATTATCAATGAGCTTATCAGTCTCAAAAATAGACAAGAAAATATAGAAACGTGAAAAATTACCTTTAGGACTGATAGATAAATATTTGCCACGAAATTTTGTTGACAAAAAATAATCTTGCCAAACTTTCCATTTATGTCGTAATGATTCACAATACTGACTGCAACCAGGTGGATGATGACTAACCTTAAATGATCCAAAATAAAAGATAAACGAACAAATATCCTGATGAGAGAATCAAGCAAAAAAGGGATTATTGTGAAACTAAAGTGTCTCAAAGAACAAAATTAGTTTAGCGAAATGTACACCAGAAAAGATAGATATATAAGGAACATGTGGAATACTCAAAGTCGATTACTAAGAGAAGTATAAGTTTATAAACAAAATTGCTGTATGCAGTCTATCAATATTATTACTACAATCCCCCTTAAACCAAATAAAACGCTTCGGAATCCATTACACAAATCAAACAGTAGTAGAAAATCAAGTGCTTAAAACCGGTTAAACAATATGATAATGATTGTCAAATTGGTCGACGATACAACTGACACTAATTGTCTACTCTACACAACAACAACCAACTAAATTCCACACAATTTGAAAGAATGAGCTGTGCAGTAATTCCGATAGCTCACTTCGCTATGAAATTTGTGCTGATGACATTGTTCAGAATGATAATAACAGCTTCAGAACGAAACCATACAGCTTAGAAAGCAATAACACCTTTTCAATATTTGTATAATGATCTACAAATATTATCTATTATTTTATAAACAACTAGAGATAATAATGAATCTTAAATCCTAAATACGATGGTACATATTTGATGAGTATTGTTAAACAAAACAATACTTACAAAGAAAACGCTTTTTTCTTTCTAAGAAAAATATCGATTAAAACTCATAACGACTAAAAACTTCATCAATAAAGTAAATTGTAAAAATAGAATGTATCTTTTTAAAAAAAATGTTTTAAATAAATAATAAGTAGTTTTGTATGTTTCAAGTAAATAAAGAACCACGCCGAAATAAGGCGTTGACAAGGTTTAATTACAGCGGGAGCAGCAACAATAAGAATACCAACAACGATGGTGTCGGCAACACACGCGCGTATGCGCATATATACACACACACAAACAGGCATAAATACTGACTTCCATTATTGTTATATTTCGTTATAACGAAAATGGTAAATTTTGAAAACAATGAACTAAATAAATATGAAAAATACCAGACATTATTTGGTAAATGCATACATCTACACAATTTATATTTCACGTGTAGTGGTGAAGAAAGAGAGAGGGATTCGTAAATGTGAATTAATTAATTAAGAGTTAATTTACATTTGTTCAAATGGTAAAAGATAGAAACAGCAAAAATTGCAGCATTTCGGAGTCCAATATATTTTTTTACTATCCATTTCAGTATATTTTAATTGTATGAAAAAACCCGGCTTATATTATATATATATTACGTTTAAGAGAATATTCGTTATATAGTTAACAGTAGGATTCAGGAGGCGCGTTTCTATTTAGGACTCCTCAGCTGGATTTAACTGCACGAGTGATAGTGTTCACATTGACACTTAAACCCAGTATTTTTGGAGTCAAAATTATAACATCTTATTCACTGGAATACTGCTGACACTAACTTGTTTGATGGATATGAATGTTTAAGTAGGGATTAGTAAATCCTATTTGCTGACATTCAGGACTGCAACCGATTAGACTTTGTAGATAGTTTAACAGTATTATTTTGCTTTAACAATGAGAATCTTCTCAAAAATGAAGCAATAGACTTCGTGTATACAAAGTGATTTTCTGTACAAAAGTTAGTTTTCGAGAAGTAATCACAAGAGTTACTATATTTTCAGCGTTACCAATGTAGTATTGTTATGTCCCGATAAACATAATGAATGGTAACTTTTGGGATCCATTTATGAGCCAATACTATGCGTATATTTTTATCATATAATTGTTAAATAACTAAACTATTCATTATCATGTCCCTCTTATTATGAGCTTTATTTTGACCTATGAACTATTATTATACGATTTACCATACTTGAGTTATGCCCTGTCTATCAATTACTGTCTCCCATATTCACAGCCACTTTCGGCTAAATTTCGTGCAAATGTTATTTTCTATTTTACGGTACGATGTGGTCTGTTTGGTGCAGGTACATCCAGCTGACGAGTCCCAAACAGGACGAAAGGCGCATCCTGGATTCCACTGCTGGCCACTGTTCATATTTGCTTATAAATTCAGTATTTTTGAAATAAACGATTCATATTCCAGAGGTTGAGATTGGTGTTCTGGACTTAACTGGCTGGTCTAGGCAGGAAACAGGACTGATAAGGACTCTAGAATGCTCGCACGGGTTTTATGCGTCATTGGTCCGATCGATAATTCACTGCTCTCTAATTGGCGGTAGCATTACGTATATATTAACAGGGCACACAGGTCACAAGTTACAACAAGTATTATGTCACGATTTTTGAGGTAACATTAAAAATCCCAAGGTAAATACCGTTACGATTTTAGAGGGCGAATGTCGAAATACCTATGGAAGAAACTAGGGCCAAGATCTTGAGGCATTACAGAAATAGTCAATGAAATTTAATGTAACCACGACAGACAATCAATCCCAACATAAGTAATAAGATTATCAGACCTAGCATACGAATGGTTTGGAATTAATATGAAATTTGATTCACAGAAAAGGATGGATAATCCCAAGACCAAATGAGAGACACAAATAACCTAGTTTCATACAAAAAGATAAAATTGTACAGAGAAGAAATCAATTAACAATGGTAAAGATTTAAATGTAGACGAATAAAGAACAATCTTGTATTATTTACCACTAATTAATGACAAATTTTCATGATGATAATTGAATACAGAAAATTTGGTAATCGCTACGCCATATACTGAAAAAGGAGACTTCAAGAAGTACATGTAAGAAAAGTCACAGCAAAATACAACATCACATATAAATTTGACTGGATAATATCCCTTATTCGAGGGATAAACATTTATATATATGAAAGCATATAAAAAAATGCATTTTCATACCTGTTCTGAAATACAACGCCAACCCATATCATCTGTACGATCACATTCATAAGTTTCGCCGAGTAATGAATTAAATGGTTTTCCTACACGATAAGCAGTCGAACTATAACAACTAACTGAAAATGCTACAACATAAGCCATTTGTTCCACTGGATCTCTGGTCTGTGAAGCATAATCTAATAGATTAGAATATGTGAAATCTTCAACAGCTCGTTGAAGGAATGACAAAGGTTCGTTGAAATTTACCTGAAATATTAAGATTGTGTAAGACTTTGAATAAGAATCTCTCTAAATATATATATATATATATATATATATATATACTGAAATAAACATATAAAGATATACAACTATCATTGAACGATGAGTAATTTGATACGAAGTTAATTTGTGGCAATCACATGAGCTATGGATCGACCAAAACATTAACATTTTCCAATTCACATTAATACTAAGTGGATTGTCAAAATGTTACTACCATATTTATTTAAATAGAAACTGCGATAACTTCCTCAAATAACTTTATATTTGTTTTTATTTCCGTAAAGTTCTCTAAAAGGTTTCCCAGTTTTTAACAAATGGCCTCCAGGTTTTCCACGATGGTCTAGCTTTAATCGACTCATGAATTCAACTATTAAAAATTACTACAATATCCACAAAAACAACATTCTGTTTATTTGTATAAGTTTAGTCTTAGAATTAGTACTTAGAATATTTGTCACTTTAATCCACTGAGTTTCTCTGTGTACTTAAGTAATTAAAGGTACAAAATTTCAAGTACCAGCGTATTTAAAGTGTGAATAGTTCATATTTCGCAAACATTTATAGATGGCGAGAAAATAGTGAGAATTAAATTATAACTACGGAGCAAGTGAAATAAAAAGTACATTAATGAAGGATTACAGATGAGTCTGAAATATGTTGATAGTTAACCTTGACCCTGACCTAATTCTAACAGGATGTAACGAAACAATGCATGGTTTATCAAATTAATTTGTTGAACCTCATTTTATGAAGAAATAGAAGTATTTAACAATACACAGGCATATTTCATACAGCTATTCGACAATGTTGGTCCTGAATTGTTTTAATTAATTATACGTAACAGGAGAGGTACTTTAATTATCATATTATTAAGTAAAATATAAATGACACAAAATACAAGCGCTCACAGGAATAGGAATTTTCGCCAGATCTTTACCGATAGCATTTTTAATTATACCCCATAAATTTAATGCAATTTTTGGTGAAACAGGTATGGTATTTCGACGTTTACGAATTTTTCCATATTTCAATGTGTTATTATGCTGGTCAGTAGTAGAGTTTTTGTTGTACGTGTTTGGATATCCATCAGACTGTTGGGTAGGGAAGAAAAAAGCAAAACGATGATATAAATAGCTTTGAATATTAGTGTTGGAGTGATCCAGAAAATTTCTTGCAAAAGACAAGCAAGGGCCAGGAAACACTAAGAAGCGTTTCATCCAATCAGCGTTCACTTGAAGTTTTAGCCAAAAATATCAAGGAAGTGAAACGTTACATGTGGAGGTTCTGATTGGCTGATTTCTATATTGCTACTAAGTTTAGTAGCATTCCAGAATCTTCGAGCAACCCAAGGATATTTAAAAATATTATAAAAACCCTATATTTCCTATGTTAAAACGAACTTCGGAGTAAAGTACTTCTCGCATACCTTGCGTCTTCTCTCTCGTTGTTCGGATCGCTGTATAGTTCTAGCTTGGGGGTCACAGAATAGCCTAGGAAACGAATATAGCGTTCAATTTGCGAGACTTATCAGAGGGGGACCAGTTGCACAGAGAATATAGTTTAATTGAGATCTCAACGTAATCAGAGTTGTCTGACCTCTATTCTTTTATTCAATGGGCTACAATGATTGGTATAACACAATTTTGTTTGATGCTTTCTCACAATAGTTTGGGGATGTTATGACCTTGACGTCTGGTTTTTCTATCACACGACTTATCTACCAGTCCAAATACGACTTATACGAATCTTCACACTAGTCCAACTAATGACGTTCAACCGGTGTGGGCAGTTTAGCGTCATTATTGGTCCTATGTCCTCCGAGCCCTTCCACCTGAGTCCAGAACACAATACCAGCTTCCGAATCAGAGCAGATTGTTTATTCCAGACATACCCAGTTTATATATCAATCAGACAGACCGCAACGTACCATAAAATAGGAAATAATATTTGTACACAAATAAGCCCAAAAAGTGCCTGTGAATGTGGGAGGCAGTAGTTAATAAACTGAACATAACTTAAGAACCGTAAATCGTACAATAATAGATTATAGGTCAAAATGAAGCTTATCATAAAAGGAATATAAATATACATAGTGTAATTGTTGAGTAGTTATACAATAAGAATATTTATAGAATATTAGTCCATGAATAGTCCTCGGAAGTTACCTGTAATTTAATCTTCACCGGATATAACAGGGGATTATTTAGCTCCTGGCTTTGCGAATAAAAAATCCCTTAGGATTGGGTTGCATTAGGTGTTTTGATTATGTTTATTCGCTTCAGCTTTTGTATAGAATCTTCTAATACTATCAATGAATAAAGGCCAACATAAACATAGATTTTAGATCTATGAAGTTTGTCCTGACTTCCAAAGGTAAGTTTCACTTTTCACTAAGAGTAAATGTAATTGAATTAACCTTGACAGTCAAACAACATATTAGGAAAGGAATTTTTAGGAGCTTGGTTACATTTGATGTAGCCGAACGTATATAGCTCATAAAGACCTAAAGGCATTATAAATAAATCATGACTTTATTGACTACTTATTGATGTAAACGACATACAGGGGTTTGTAATAGGCAGTCAGAATAAATGGTTGGGAACTTTAGTGGACTATAGTTTGTGTGTGAGAGAGGAAGAGGAAAGGGGGGAACGAATAACGAATTTACATCTTTTGTGATAATAATTCTTTGTTTCAACTTGCAAGCAACCTTATTAGTCTCACTCCATTCATGTGTAGATTGAACTCATTTTAGGTTTAGGTGGGATTATAATTAATTTTTTATTTATAACTTGAGTTATTCATTTGTACTTATGCTCAAGTATGGCATTTTCCTGACTACCTTAGTCTTAACCCCAAGGTCTTCCTGGGTCCAAAGTTGGATTGTCATGTTTGACTGTTTACACTTGAATTGATTGATTTGTTATAGACTCACCTATTTTTTTTAAATGGTTAAAATACGCCTTAACTTACCGGCATAGATGTAAAAACATTAGTTCTGTTAGTGTATCCATTTGGTAAATCTAAATCACTGCCTGAAACTGATGTTTCTTCAACATTCACCAAACTTCTTAAACTTGCTGATGACACTTGAGCTACATCACTATTATGCAATGAGGATGAATTATAATGTAATGGTCTAGGCATTTGTACTATAGATTGATTGATTGTAGAAATAAGTGAATCATTATATTGTTCAGTCACATCCAAATTAGACATGGCGTCATAAAATTCATCACTGTTTTCTTCATCAAGTGATTTTTCTACTGACTGTTTGACAGTTTGCTTGGTTTCTATAGAAGAAAATGCCAAAAATGGAAATATTTATTTTATAAAAAACAAACGTTCATATGAATTTATTTAAATCAGAGAAAGAAATGTAATGGAGTAGGACTGATTACATTTCTTCTGTATTCATTAAATATCCAGTAAAATGTTAAGTTTACTATTAAAGGATGGGAAACGATCAGATGGAATTCAATAGAAGTTAATGTTGGCAAACAAAGTGTGTGTAAATCAGTGAAGCATAGGCTTAAGTTTGGATGCTGTAGAACTACACTAATATATAAATAGATCTTTAGAAATCAGAGATAAGTAAGTCACTGAGATATTGTCAATTCATAATTTTCATTAGGTCAAGAGAATAGTATTGTATGAACAATGAGACCACTTTATATGTTAATATTGATTCACAACGCGATACCAGGGTAACATATAATAAAAATGAAATATTAGTAGAAAAATGAATATTTGCCGTTTTGTGGATTTGTGTGATTTACGTTCAAGTCAATTTTAAACAGTCAAACGTTAACGATTTTGCAAATCGGTGTCACATTCTGATTTGTTCGCCCTATAGATTTCCTCCAATGTCACACTGTTTAGGCTAAAGTTAAAAGTGTGAAACACGTCTATTTTATTGAACTTCTATGAGATTAGTCTAACGTATTACATTGAGTAAGACTACTGAGAATACTTATGTTGGTTAAACATTGATACAAGTTAGAGTGTTTTTATAACAAAAAACTAGGATACTATCAATCCATCAACCAGTATAATTTAGATAAAATAAATATAACAACACAATAAGTATTCACACGGAAAAACTGACTATCAAGAGACGAACGTTGCTGCTACCTTGACGTGGTGGTCCGACTTACATATCGTAATGAACAAATCGATCTTTAATGGCTGGAACAATCGTTTCTCAAGGTCCTACCGAGCCAGACAGGTCGGTTGAAGAGCGGTAAGACTAAAAGCAACAAACCCAAGGTCCGAAGGCGAAGTCGTACTGCTGACTGTACAGAGGTGTGACAGCAGTAAGGTGTTTCCTTCAGACAACCAGCATGACAGTGATGCTGCTTTCCCACAAGGAGGGGTGGGGTTAGCACACCTCGCCTTATCCCACGGATATCCGTCTCCGGTGGTAAGGTCTCAACAAATACGGAGCTAACACGAAAATTACCCATAAAAAGGTCGTGTGTAACCGACCTCAAGCAGTTTTCCCTTGGGCACTGCGGTCACGCTCCCAGGTCACTAAGACCACCTCTAATCCAATTTCCTTTTCAGGTACCTCCAAAACAACCCTTCCACGGTGTGCGAAACCGGGAAGTGATAACTGCCATCATAATTCTAACAGCACTCAAGACCACTGTATTCATAACCGATCTCCCTCTTCAATTCCTATTATTCCTCCAACGTGGACTTTCAACTATTTTGACTTCCTTCTCAAGTGTCACCATGGCCACCAATTCTGGTGCGCAAAACACTGCTCCAGATCTACTGAAACCTCGCTCCAAACGATTTGTTTGTTACTCTGAAAACATTTCATTCAAAATGACAAATGTGGACCACTGGATTCCAACTTAGTTGTTTAAAGATAATGAATATACTCCTCTAAAGACCCGAAACTGTTAGGTTCAATCCATAATGTGGTCTTAAGTTACTCACTGCTAATAATTTCCAAAGTAGAATGAAAAAACTTTTCGGTGTACTTTATTTATCAGTTGTTGTCTAACTGATGTCAATACATGATATCCATTTAATTGGATGATTCTCAAAACAATCTCATCTGATTTTTGTTTTGTTATTTGATATTGGAACTGTAATAACGCTTAAGATTTTGCGCAAATCTGTTCGTTAAACTGTGCATTAACTTAATCTAATTAAACAACTAAATGAGGAAATCTCAGCACGGATTCGAAAAGTTCGTTTGGCTTTTGCCAACTTACGTCACCTATGGCGAAGGCGAGTTATCCGTCAATCAATTAAACGACGAGTATACTGCGCGGCAGTTCGTTCTGTTTTAATGTTCGGCAGTGAAACATGGCCATTAAGAGTAGAAGATACTCGTAAGCTACTAGTATTTGACCACAGATGCCCTAGAAATATTACTCGCATCTGCTGGGATCACCGGGCAAATAATTGTGATGTTAGACGCAGGGTATTAGGGAATGATGGTAAGTCAGTTGACGAGGTTGTGAATCATCATCGACTGAGATGGTTAGGCCACGTGTCACATATGCCTGAACACCGATTACCATGACGTGCATTGCTATCCGGTGTAGGGGATGGTTGGAAGAAAGTTAGGGGCGGCCAAACCAAAACGTGGCATCAGTGCTTGAAGACACTAACTACTGATCTGAGCCATGTTGGTGGATGCAGACTACTCGGTCGGGGTCTGCGTGACTATCGTAACCAACTCTTAGTAACATGGCTCAGAATCGATCACAATGACGTATTTGTATACATTCTTTGATTTCCCTTAAATCTTGAGATTAAAAATCAGTTTTAGGTCATGTTATCCAAGTCGCGAGTGAAATAGTTGTCAAAAAATAACATTTATATATATTTGCCCGATATCGTAAATTGTTCGTAGGATGACTACGGCCCCTCGATTTAGTGATTAAATAATATAGTTCAAATTGAGAAAATCGAAGGTTTAAATTTTAATTGATTATAGATTCGTGAGCGAGTAATGCTAACAGGATTCAAGACAATGACAAAATTACTAATGTTCTCTGATATTTACTGAGTGTCTGAAATGATATTTGTTCATTACAGAAGACCGAACTCAAGTGAAACAAATCTCTACAAACATAGGATATTTCTTTCAAATATTTACATAAATAACAAGATTACGTGGTTGATTATACGACTATAACTTATTTTAATAACAATTATGGATCGAATTCATTCTTTACAAATGACTGTACAACATAAATAAAAACTTTGTTACAATAAGTTTTAGAATCCAATATTTACATTATGTCTTTATAATATCAATATAATAAAGATTCGGCTGAATAAAATGCATAAGGAATAACTGTTAATTAATAGTACATAAAAACCTATTTATACACACACGGTAAAGGATAAACAAATAGACGATACTATTTAGACATTAAGGAGGAAGAATGCATTTGTAAAATCTCGGAGAATGAATTTGAGGTAAATCCAACGTTGCGCCTGGCAATTTGGTCCAAGCTTTTTCAAGGAAATGTAATAAAACATCAAAATTATCGAAACGTTGGTTTTACTTCAAATTCATTCGCTGATTTTATAAATACATTCTTCTTCCTTAATGTCTCTCATCAACTCGGTGCCAAACACTGTGAAACTATTCGATCATATTTAAACGAGAGTTCTTAGACATTATTTGGATTTAAAGGAATAAGGTAACTATAATCAAATGAAGAGAATAACTAATTAGCACACAAATAATTTTAACTCAACAGCATTAACTGAAGTATGACTGACAGCTCACAGCAGAATTGTGAATTATGAGGGAATAAGGCTTTTTTTCCGATATGACTTATGATACTGTTGTTAATCTACTACAGTGAAAACAAACAATGACAAACGAGATTTAAATTCACGAGAGGAAAAGTGGCCTTCTATTGAGCCCAGAACTGAAACAAAAGGTGTCTAATGAATCTCAAAATAGCCTACTATGAACAGATAATATTAAAATTAAATAATAATGTTAAGTTTATACAACAGTCATTTAATTTCAGATTGAAAACGATAGTCATAACAACATCTACATAGACAGTAAATAAAGTTGATCAGGGTTATACACACAAAAGAATCTCAAGTTATTACACTTCTCAACAAAACAGAGGTCAAACTAAATATGAATATCCTCTACAATTAACTTGTTGCACAATGTCTACAATCAAAAAATATTTGGATTATTATAGATGCTCTCTGTCAATATCACTAATTAAAGTGACAATCAAATGTTCATAAATAATTAACGAAATAAAAACCACTTAACCATTTATAAATGTTATCTCACAACAAAGAACTATTCATTTATTTGAATACAAAATATTGCAACATATTTGCACCCAAAACATATGCGTCACACAATAACAATGAGAGTGTGAAGAGATTGAGAATGTAAAGTGAGTATAATAAAAAATAATACAATAACGAACAGAAATTAGTGTATCATAGTGAAATAATAATAATAATAATAATAATAATAATAATAATAATAATAATAATAATAATAATAATAATAATAATAGGAGAGGCCGTTCATTTAGTAAAGGTACAACCAGGGAAAATTCTTTCAGTTCAAGTTACGTCCACTTTTTGAAGAAATTAAAGGATAGTTACAGCAAGATCGCCACTGGCTTCTGTTCTTTCAGCTATTTCTGATAACGTCTTTAGCCACTGAGTTGCACCATCTCCAGGAACCCAACTAGGGAGTCGTGAAGGACCAACAGAAGCCAATCCGGTACAGCTTTCTTTCATACACTGACCACCTATTCGCTTTTTCAAACCAGTCCCAGCGTCAGAAAATAATGCACGACGTTTAATTCTCTGGGACGACACTCGTACGACTTGTCCAAGTCACCGAAGTTAGTGTTTCAAGATGGTGACACCAACCGGATAATCGTCACTGCGCCCGAACACACGATGTCGAGCCTCTGCACTGTTAACTTGATGTGGACAATGGATGTCAGCAATCCTTCGGAGACAACGATGATCAAATAGAGAGAGTTGCTTGACATCCTTAACTCGAAGAGGCTGAATTTCACAAGCACATAGCAAAACTCCTCTCACCAACGCGTCGTAGATCCAACATTTTACTGCCAGACTAACATCACGAAAGCGCCAAAGATGGGCATTAGCTGCTCTGGCTTTCACCATACTTGAATTGATTTCATCACTCGTGCAAACACCAACACTTACACAACTACCCAGGTACACGAACTTCTCGACTACTTCTATCTACTCACTACCCATGGTGAGCACAGGAGCAGGGTCCTGTCAGTCCTGTAAA